TTATACACACTAATTAAGAAAGCTCAGAAAGCCAATACCCATTTAGTAAGATGGACACCTGAAGCAGAAGCAGCTTTCCAGACCCTAAAGAAGGCCCTAACCCAAGCCCCAGTGTTAAACTTGCCAACAGGGCAAGACTTTTCTTTATATGTCACAGAAAATCCAGGAATAGCTCTAGGAGTCCTTACACAGGTCCGAGGGACCAGCTTGTAACCCGTGGCATACCTGAGTAAGGAAATTGATGTAATGGCAAAGGGTTGGCCTCATTGTTTACTGGTAGGGGCAGCAGTAGCAGCCTTAGTATCTGAAGCAGTTAAAATGATACAGGGAAGAGATCCTACTGTGTGGACATCTAATGATGTGACCGGCATACTCACTGCTAAAGGAGACTTGTGGCTGTCAGACAACTGTTTGCTCAAATATCAGGCTCTATTACTTGAAGGACCGGTGCTGCGACTGTGCACTTGTGCAACTCATAATCCAGTCACATTTCTTCCAGACAATGAAGAAAAAAATAGAACATAACTGTCAACAAGTAATTGCTGAACCTGCACCACTCAAGGGGACCTTCTAGAGGTTCACTTGACTGATCCTGACCTCAACTTGTATACTGATGGAAGTTCCTTTGTAGAAAAAGGACTTCGAAAAGCAGGGTATGCAGTAGTCAGTGATAATGGAATACTTGCAAGTAATCACCTCATTCCAGGAACTAGCACTCAGCTGGCAGAACTAATAGCCCTCACTCAGGCACTAAAATTAGGAGAAGAAAAAAGGGTAAATATATATACAGACTCCAAGTATGCTTACGTAGTCCTCATGCCCTCACGGCAATATGGAGAGAAAGGAATTCTGAGGGAACACCTATCAAACATCAGGAAGCCATTAGGAGATTATTATTGGCTGTACAGAAACCTAAAGAGGTGGCAGTCTTACACTGTTGGGGTCATCAGAAAGGAAAGGAAAGGGAAATAGAAGGGAGCCACCAAGGGGATATTGAAGCCAAAAGAGCTGCAAGGCAGGACCCTCCATTAGAAATGCTTACAGAAGGACCTCTGGTATGGGGTGATCACCTCTGGGAAACCAAGCCCCAGTACTCAGAAAAAGAAATAGAATGGGGAATCTCAAGAGGACATAGTTTCCTCCCCTCAGGATGGCTAGCCACCGAAGAAGGAAAAATACTTTTGCCTGCAGCTATGGAAATTACTTAAAACCCTTCACTAAACCTTTCACTTAGGCATTGATAGCACCCATCAAATGGCCAAATTATTATTTACTGGACCAGCCTTTTCAAAACTATCAAGCAGATAGTCAGGGCCTGTGAAATGTGCCAAAGAAATAATCCCCTGCACTGCAGGCCAAGCATTTCAATCCGTGTATCTTTAACCTCCTTGTTAAGTTTGTCTCTTCCAGAATCAAAGCTGTGAAACTACAAATGGTTCTTTTAATGGAACCCCAGATGCTGTCCATTATTAAGATCTACCATGAACCCTTGGACCGGTCTGCTAGCCCATGCTCCGATGTTAATGACATTGAAGGCACCCCTCCCGAGGAAATCTCAACTGCACAACCCCTATTATGCCCAATTCAGCTGGAAGCAGTTAGAGCAGTCATCGGTCAACCTCCCCAGCAGCACTTGGGTTTTCCTGTTGAGAGGGGGTACTGAGAGACAGGACTAGCTGGATTTCCTAGGCCTACTAAGAATCCCTAAGCCTAGCTGGGAAGGTGACTGTGTCCACCTTTAAACACGGGGCTTGCAACTTAGCTCACACCTGACCAATCAGAGAGCTCACTAAAATGTTAATTAGGCACAAACAGGAGGTAAAGAAATAGCCAATCATCTATCGTCTGAGAACACAGTGGGAGGGACAATGATCGGGATATAAACCCAGGCATTCGAGCCAGCAACGGCTACCCTCTTTGGGTCCCCTCCCTTTGTATGGGAACTCTGTCTTCACTCTATTACATCTTGCAACTGCACACACACACACACACACCCCTAGATGACAGGTTGATGGGTGCAGCAAACCACCATGACACATGTATACCTATGTAACAAACCTGCACATTCAGCACATGTATCCCAGAACCTGAAATAAAATTAAAAAAAAAAAAATGAAGTATAAAAAGGAAGCTTTTTCTGTACTAGCTCTCTCTTCACCTGCTGCCATTCATGTAAGATATGACTTGCTTCTCCTAGCCTTCTCCAGCTGTGTGGATTTGTAAGTGCATTAAACCTCTTTCTTTTGTAAATTGCCAAGTCTTGGGTATGTCTTTATCAGCAGCCAGAAAACAGACTATTACAGTAAAGATTTAAAATGGACTGTGATGAGCCAACAATTAAATTGTGCTACTAAGACCAGTTTCTCCTCTTCCTTCTCTCTTGTCCTTTACGTATGATGCTTAGTACAGCCACATAACACCCTAGATCAAGTAAGATTTAAAGAAACTCTGTAATGTGTGAGAGTTCCAATGGCTTCTGAAATAAAGGAAAAAAGGAAGTCTTCCTTTATAGTATTGTGGAAGGAAGTAGGGATTTTTATAGGTAGCTGGTGAGGGTGTCCTCTCAAATTTCAGGTCCACCTGGAACTTCAGAATGTGATCTTATTTGTAAATAAAGTCTTTGCAGATGTAATTAGTTAGAATTAAGTTGTAAGAGATTAGAATGTGCCTTAAATCCAGTATGATTGGTGTTTTTATACAAAGAGAAGCTCCAAATATGCAGAGACACACAGGGAAGAATCTTACATGACAAGAGAGGCAAGGATTGGAGTAATATTGCCACAAGCCTGAAGTCACCTGAAGCTAGGAAGAGGCAGGGAAGAATTTTTTTCTAGACCATTCAGATGGAGCATGGCTCTGCTAACACCTTTATTTTGGACTTCTGGCCTCTACCACTTTGAGAAATTAAATTTCTATATTTTAGGTTACCTGGTTTAATGGTACCTTGTTATAGCAGTCCTAGGAAACTGACACAAGTAAGTATTTTCTGGTTATATGGTGTGTGCAAATCCTTGGTGAATTCTATTTTATAATAACCTATTTGATTATCTTAACTTTTAAGTTCTAATGCTAATTAGATCCACTTCTTGACTTACTGATATAGTAAATGGACTACTACAGTATGTTTGTATTGCCTGTGCATGTGTGAAAAACAAGGTATAAATTTGCATAGTACATCTAATAGGTGGCTTTATGTATTACTAGGGAACAATCCATAAATGGTACAAATGGGGATTACAAAAATTAAGATTTAAATTCTTAACAATAAAAGCAGGATGGCATAACAGAAGAGGTGTAAGGATAAAAATCAAAACACTTGAGTTCCAGTGTTGCCGCTACAATTTATATGTGCATGACTCTATGCAAGCCATTATATTTTTCCACATGTGTAATCAGAAAATAAAAATGTCGGACTTCCCATTTCACAGGATTGTTTGAGAAATGAACATACTTGAACTACTTTATTAAAGTGTATAGTAATATGAAGTTTATTATATTTATTAGATAATTAAGAAGGTACTTGAATGAAATATATATAACTCACATTTGCAAACCATATGTTCTGGTATGATGGCAAATCACTGTTCAATCAATGTGCTTATCTTAATGACTTAGAGAGAAACTTATCAGAGACAAAATTATTTTCATAATTCAGGTTGTCATTTTCAGAAGGTCATCTAGAGCCATTTTGCAGACCTGAGAACAAGTGGATGAGTGGCATCTGCAATTTGTAACTTTGACTTTTCAGTGCACAAACACAGGACCAATAATTCACAAAACCTACAAGTCTTTTTTCACACTTCACAGAAATATTTCTCAAAAGTTTTATGCCAACAATTGGGCCTCATCTTTCTAATCCGCTTTTTAGCAAAAATGAAGAGAGTGGTGCTGTTATCCAGGGATTTCCTAGAACTGATGAAATGTCAGGCTAGTCATTTGCTTGCTTTGTTGATTGCAGAGAGGACATTCTTTTTGTTCATTTTTTGATTTTTATCAACACAGACATGATAAAGGGGAAGAAAGCCAATGATATCGTCACGCATGCAGAATTAAGAAAAAATTTATGAACATTGGTACATTTCAAAAGATAATTTGTCTTCATTTCCATCATTTTGTGTGTACTACTGGCATTTTGACACCTGCAGATTTTGGCTTGGCCTTTATTGAACAGATGAACACTCCATCACACATGGGTATAGTTTTTAGGCAATGCATTTTTCCTTCACAAGCATGTCACCCACCCACCGGAAAGAGCTGAATACTACCATTGATTCTGTATATTTCTTTCAAATCATACTTTGTATTTTATTTCTGCTCATTAATATGATAGTTTAAAATCTTATCTTCCATACCCTACCAATAAAAAATCTAGGTTTCAATATTATTTACTTCCTTTTTTTCTCTCAGTTACTTCTTTTTATTTTCATTGATAAGGAATTGTAAAGTGTAGCAGAATGAGTGGAAAATCAATGAATACCTCATTGGTTAAAATCTCCATTATGGCTTTTTAATATATTTAATAACATGGGGATAATTAAGTGCCACTTAATGTCAACTGATTTTATTTAAAAAGCAATTATTTATATTTTTCATAATTTGGTTTCAACTTCATAGACACCATTTGCTTTATGCTTTATGAATTTTAAGCACATACTTAAAGCTAACAATAACATTATTAAAATGTGAAAATATTGATACCATTAGCTAAAGCTTATCCACTAGGAAGAGCTGAGTGCTTTATCAAGTATATGTGACATTTATGTCTAAAAATATTTAATAAAATATTATCAGTATTTTGAGATTAATACTGATAAAAGTAATATTAAGTTGAGATAAATTGAATGCCATTATGGTTATATAATAACTTGGAAGCTAAAAGTACGGAATAAATTTTATTGTGTGCTTCCAGCTAATTAGATTACTGAGTGTTTTGAAGTACCTAAAAATTCTACATGTGTGATTTTTTAACATCAAAGATCCTTGTAAATTTTTTGTATGTTTACAAAATTAAACTGCTTTATAACCTATTTAGTACAAAATAGATCTAAAAGTAAGATACAGAAAAATACAAGGCAGGGAGTCTCTCTGAATCTGCTGTGATTCTGGGGACTGCCCAATTCGTGAATTGTTCATTGCTCGATTAAACTCCTTTAAATTTAATTTGACTGAAGTTTTTATTTTAACAGATGGTGTCAGAAGCGTCGTTCAAAGTAGAGAACTTTAATGAACCCCAGAAGTGCTGAGTGAACAAGCAAGGTACCTGCAAGGACCCACTTGTTTCCTTTGATCTCTCAGACCAGTGGGTAAGTTCTCTTTTGGATTTTGGAGCTCCACGGATTTGTGTTTTGAGCTTTCTGAGTTTCTTTGAGCAAATTTCTGTTCTAAACTGGGTTTGGAAGTAACTGGACTGAGTCCAGGATCAGATTTGATCTGGTAATTAACTGGCTTGGATCTAGTTAGAGGCCCCTTACATCTGACTGGATCAGAAGGAAACTGGTAGTAAATAATAATATTGTCAGGGTTTTAAAGTTTGGCTTTGGAAAATTTGCAGTGATTTTTGTATTCTACCCCTTTGTTTAATTTTTCTTACATTCTTAGGTAGAAAAATCACTGGCTAAGTTAATCAAGGGAACCTGAGAGTAAAGCCAATATTTTAGCTAAAAATGGGATCCTTAATTTCTAAAAAACTGATTTCCTTTCAACTTAAACATTAGGCCCAGGAAGCAGCAAAGTCTTAACAGAAATGGTGAAATCTGACTAAAGATAACTTATAGTGGAACATTCTGAATGAACAACAATGCATTGAAGTTAATTTAAAAACGAGGGCTCCCCAAAATTAAACCTACTGACCTTGTAGCTTAATTACTATTCTGACCCAAAGGAAATAGACTGCAACACCAATTGGCTGACTTTGGATAAGTAATGGCGTACATTTTACCTGAGTAAAGGATGTGATTGGGTTAGAAGCCCTCCCCTCAGTAAAGTCCCTCTTGGTTAAAATGGATTAAAGGTGGCAGGGCCCAACCAGGGGCAAATTTGACCTTTGCCAGTTCAATATTGGGTTCTAAGCAGAGTGGCTACTGCCTGTGTTTTGTCACACATATTTTGCTCTGGCCAGAATGGAAAATGTTAATTTGGTTACCACGTAAAGCCCCTTGGTCAACATCTTACAAAATGATGAGGATTTTGCCTGTGGTTCCATGATTTTCCATTGTGATGCAGCTTGGCCCCCAGAGGTATGGTATGGCAAACAGCGTTGCTAGGTAGGGCTGCTCATGGAAGAGGAACCTAGAAACCTCACATGCTGGCAAAAGGGTAAGAATTTCCTTCCAGTCAGGCTTCTGGTCTTTCTTTCTCTGTGCAAACCAGTTGAATGAATGATAAAAATCACTGTTTATCTCCTCTGTAAAATTTTGATTAATGTGAAAAAGGATTCTGAGGCTAGTCTTAAACTGTGGTGAATCTGGTGTATTCTGTGCTACGAATTTGTCTTTCTGTGTCATTCTGTCATGAATAGGGGTACATTAGTATAGAACATGGGCTTAGGACCCCATAAGCTCACTATTCAAGATGGCCCAGCAAACTGGTCAGTTACAAACTTTGCTGCAGGTCTCTGAAAAAAATAGAAAAACTGGATGAGGTCTCCATCTTGTTTTATGTCCTTGGGAGCTTAACCTTATAACCATATATCAGTACTTTGTTTTGGTTTCTGCCATTTTACAGTGGTGGCCCAGGTTCAATCCTGGCTTAGGAAATGAGTACTTTCTGGTTGGTATCTGTGTGATATTTACCATTTGATAGTTCTCTTCCCCTCCATGAACAACTTCTGTCTTCCCTTCTTGAATTTTTCTGTCTTCAAGCTACCTTTGAAGATTCTAGATATTGTAAAAACTGCATGTGTTCCTAGCCCTGTTTCTTGAAGGATGCTCCCTACAGCCAGTAATCCAATTAAGAAACTTCAACACTGGCAAATGAAAAATCTTACAACTGCCAGATCTTCTGTATGTCTGTGTAGTTATGTATGTGTTGTGTGTGTGATATTTATATAAAAGAGCTCTAATTAACTGGCTTAAAGAAAAATAAGCACTTAAATCAAATATTTTGAAAGAAAAATAAAAACTAATTCCTTTTAGTTCACATAACTTTAGTTATCTTTTGGAAATAAAAAGTTTAAAATATTGTTGGTAAAATAAGGACATTTAGTCTAAATTAGGCAGGTCACATATTAGGTTTGCCAAAGACTGTAAGGTCATAAACTGCTGTGACTTTTGAAAATTGTTTAATTTATCTACCATGAACACATTAGATTCTAGATACGGCCTTGGGACATGTTGAATTAGCCATGCCCCCTAGCTATGCCCAGAAGGTTATAAAGAAAAGAGTCTATATAAGAGAGAATTTCATGCAGTAAATTTGTGTCATAAATTAGAATAACTGGTTGTTTAAAAAGAGGGCTGTTTAGGACAAGTCAGAAAATCCAAGCATGTCATAAATGGTCTGTGTAAGTTGTGAAATGATTGATGAAAGGAAATTTATGCACCAAAAGTTAAAGTTCCTAAGAGTTACAATTATAACATGAAATTAAGACTACTGCAAATAAGTTGTATTAATACATGCAAGGTGTATGAGTAGCATGAAATGTGTTTTTGGTTAAAGATTATGAGAAGGCAGCCAGGTGCCCTGTCTCAAGCCTGTAATCCCAGCACTTTGGGAAGCTGAGGCGGGAGGATCACTTGAAGTCAGGTGTTCGAGACCAGCCTGTCCAACATGGTGAAACCCCATCTCTATGAAAAGTATAGAAATTAACCCAGCGTGATGGCACATACTTGTAATTCCAGCTACTCGGGAGGCTAAGCAGGAGAATCTCTTGAACTCGGGAGATGGAGGTTGCAGTGAGCCGAGATTGCCCCACTGAACTCCTGACTGGGTGACAAAGTGAGACTCTGTCTCAAAAAAAAAAGGTTATAAGAAGTCATGGCATATAAATCTTTGCCAGAGGGTTAAAAGATTGTTTTAACTTAGATAAAGCTAAAAGTTTGAACAAGTTGTGGAAGGGTTGTAAAAATTAATCTTGTGAAAGAAATTATCTGTGTGATAATTCTGTGTGGGATAAATTTCAGTTGGTCATGATGTGTAATATTTTTAATATGTTGCTGAGTTTGGGCTGCAAATGTTTTGTTGACTTTTTGTCTATATTCATGAGAAATATTGACAGGTGGTTTCCTTTTTTGTGATATTTTTGTCTGGAGTTAGCATTGGGGCAAGTCACAGTGAGCTGAAAATTGTTCCAGCTTCTGAACTTTAACACTTTATGAATGATTCATGTTACCTCTTTTTAAAGTACTTGATAGAATTTACCTGTAAAACCACCGGAATCTGAATTTTTCTTTCTTGGAAGCATTTTAATTGCCAGTTTAACCCCTTTACCTGGTATACATGTATTCACATTTTCTATATCTTTTCTTGTCAGTATATATAATTTGTTTTTTTATTTTAACCTTTGTCCATTTATTTAAGTTGTCTAATTTTTCAGCATAAAGTTGCTCTTATTCCCTTATATACATTTTAATTTCTGTAAAATCTATAATGATACACTATTTTTCATTTTGGATTTTAAAAATTTGTGTCTTTTTTCTTGTTCAGTATATATAAACTTTGTCAATTTTGCTAATTTTTCCAACAAATCTGCCTGTGGTTTCATTGATTTTCTCTTTTCTCAATTTTACTAATTCTGTTCTAATCTTTATTATTTTTTTCTGCTTTCTTTGAGTTTATTTTTTTCTCATTTTACTAGTTTCTTAAGTTAGAAATATATTTATTTGGGATTTTATTTAACATTAGCATTTAAAGCTAAAATTTATTTCTCTAAATACAGTTTTGCCTACATTGCTTATTTTTTTTATGATGTGATTCAATTTTCAGTCATTTTAAAGTATTTTCTATTTTCCCCTGTAAGTTATTTTTTGATCTATGAGTTTTTTAGTAGTATGTGGTTTATTTTCTGAAGATTAAAATTTCCATAGTTTTGTTGATTTCTAATTTAATATCTTTGTTTTGAGAATATACTTTATTTTATTCTTTTTAAAGCTGATTATAGATTACTATGTTATGGCCGAACATATGGTTTATCATAGGATATTTTCCATATGCCCTTGGAAAGAATGTGTATTCTTTTACTGTTAGATGGACTGTTCCATATATTTCAGTTAGGTATAGGTCTTCGGGGAACAGGCAAGTATTGTCTCTATTTTTATTCTTATTTTGAATGGTAGTTTCACTGGTCATTGAATTAATATTTGACATCTTCATATTTTTAGATGTATAAATATGTCAACTCCCTGCATTCTAGCCTCCATTAATTCTGAGAAGATGTTAATTTTATTATAATTATTTTTTACATGCTAAATAGTTTTTAATCTCATTGTTTGATGGTTTCTTTTTAGTTGTTTTTATTTTTGTTGTTGTTGTTTGTTTGTTTGTTTGTTTTGAGACAGAGTATCCCTCTTTTGCCGAGGCTGGAGTGTAGTGGCAAGATCTCTGCTAACTGCAACCTCCGCCCCCAGGGCTCAGGTGATTCTCCTGCCTCAACCTCCTGAGTAGCTGGGACTACAGGCACACACCACCATGCCTGACCAATTTTTGTATTTTTGGTAGAGACAAGGTTTGGCAAAATTGTCCAGACTGGTTGCAAACTCCTGGCCCCAAGTAATCTGCTCACGTCAGCCTCCCAAAGTGCTGGGATTATAGGCATGAGCCACTGGGTCTGTTTTTTTTGTTTTTGTTTTTGTTTTTGTTTCAGACAGCGTCTTGCTCTGTCACCCAGGCTAGAGTGCAGTGACACAATCTTGGCTCACTGCAAACCTCCTTGGTGCACTGCAACCCTGCTGGGTTCAAGTGATTCTCATGGCTCAGCCTCCCAAGTAGCTGGGATTACAGGCGTGTAACACCATGCCTGGCTAATTTTTGGCGTTTTAATTAGAGACAGGGTTTCTCTATGTTGGCTAGGTTGGTCTCCAACTCCTGGCCTCAAGTCATCCGCCCTCCTTGGCCTCCCAAAGTGCTGGGATTACAGGTCTGAGCCACTGTGCCTGGCCTCTGCTTAGTTTTGGCTGTCCAAAGTTTGACTATGATATATCTACATGCAAATCTTTTTGTATTTATCCAATGTGGAATTTAATGAGCTTAATGGATATATAGATAAATGTTTTTCATCAAATTTGACATGTGTTTAGCCATTCCTTACTAACAAACATTTTTTTCTCCTTTTTTTCTGTCTCCTCTATTCTATGACAGCACATAAGTG